TAAGACATCCCAGGGAAGATTTTCCTGCTGCTATAATCTGTGCCACATTCCTATCTGAGTTAGGAGTGTGATTTTTCCCTTCTACCTCTCCACTGACAGCACTGCTACCAAAACTTTATAGTGTTGACCTGGCCTCAGGGTTGGGCTCAATCTTTGGGGTTAGGCTGAAAGGGCCAACCTAGAAGACTGGTTATTTGACATGCAGAGTGTTTTAATACCATGTACTCTGGATAGTTTTGACTGATATAGAGCCTGCCTCAATATCTCTTTTGGCGTTTTATTGTGACTCTTCTACCTCATTATGAATTTATAAATGTGTTTTGTTTTCAGCCCTTTCTAACTGTACTGAAGCAACCATTTTAAGCCAACTGAATTTGCCCTTCTAATGTATAAATTGTCATTAGCACAGAAAGTAAAAATTGGAATTGCTGTTCCACTGAAAATTTCAGAAATAATATTTCCAAATTGGAATAAAATCTCAAAAATAGTTTTGTAAAAGGCAGAAACACTGTTTTAGCCTTTCTGTAACTTTTCTAGATCTCTCTATATTACCCCAGACTCTCAGCTGACGCACAGGGCAACTTGCCTAGTTCTCATCAGCTTTTCAAAAAATTGTCATACTCTAGTGCAGGGGTCCCCAACACGGTGCCCGTGGGTGCCACAGTGCCCGCCGGGGCATTTATGTGTGCCCGCACTGATATTTTAAAACAGTGGTCTCCCAAGTGAGGTGCGCGAAACTATCAGAGGGAGCCACTGGTTCGCAAGACATCTGAGGGAGCGCATGTGCGGCAAAGACGCTGCGCATGTGCTCCCTCAGATGTCTTGCGAACCGGGCGTCTCCCCTCTCAGCTGTTGCATGGTGGCATGCGCTCCCTCCAATCGTCTCATGCACCCCCTCTGCGCAACAGCTGAGAGGGGAGATGTCAGGTTCGCAAGACCTCTGAGGGAGCGCATGTGTGGCGTGTTCAAATGCCCATGCAACAGCTGAGAGGGGAGATGCCCGACGTGCCTTGACGTCACGGCCTGGGACTTTAAATTTTAAAACCGCACGGCCCAGCTCCATGGAAGCAGTTGGGGTCACGGAAGCAGTTGGGGCCGGGCCCAATCACAGACTCAAACTGGAAGGCACAAGGTGGGGGTGTGGGAAAAATCGGGGGAAGGAGTGGAAGGGGGAGGGGAGCAGGTTAGGAGAAGAAAAAGGAAGGGACAGCGTGGGACAGCTTGGAGGAGAGACAAATGCCAGGGGGCCAAGTGGAGACAATGAAGAAAAGGGCAGGAGGGGAGGTGTCAGTGGGAGAGGGGTAGGGAGATGCTGGGAGAGGAGAGGGTAAGGGCATTGGGGGCTAGAGGGGAGAGGAGGAGGTGCTAGGAGAAGGCTTGAAAGAAGGGGGGGTGGGCATGAGAAAGGTGGGGATGGAGCAAGGCATGTGTGAGGGCACAGAGGGGCAGAGAATGGTGAGGGGGTGGGCCCCAGGGAAAAAGAGGGCAAAGGGAGCAGGGGCAGTCAGGGAAGGGGGAGGCACCAGGAGGGTGTAGGGCTAAGGGAAGGTGCAGGTGCCAGGGGATTCTGATGGTGAAGCAGAAGGGAAGACACCTACAGGGGAGGACTAGCACCAGAGGAGAGAGGCAGGGCAGGTGTGTAAAGGGAGGTGTTAGGAGAGGGGGTAGCTCACATGATCAGAGTGGGGCTACTGGAGGAGTG